CATCTCAGGAAGACTCAATGGGAGCTGAGATGAAAATAGCTTCTGACTCTCCTTAACAAGTGATCACTCTGCTAGAACCAACTTTATGAATGACTGCAATATAAGGCTTATATTTCTTCAGCTAGGAGAGAGTATTCACACATATGAGCCTGTAATAGCAACTGACACAAGAAGGGATGAGAGAGATCCTGGTCTGATCAACTCAACACGGTAGTTTCCCGTCCTCTAACAAAATCAATGCAATTACAACATAGATTTTCCATGAAGTCTATGGACTCCATATAAAGGGTTGGAAAAATAAAGGGCATCTTGAATCATTTGGTGAGAGTTATTAAACAGTGTTTTTTCTTATCAGCTATCATCTCTGCAAATATATCAACCTTAAAAGTCACTTACCATGCATTGCCATTTTAAAAGTAAAATACTTTGCAAACAGAGGTGAATATGAATTGGTCAAAACCTGTAAACACATATTTACTTCTCAGATGGCACAGTACCAGAAAAGAGATTATGCTATCTGACAGTTGCCACAGATGGAGGCCCAAATTTTTAGAAGCAAAAGCAGAATTAATTTTGGGGTGCCTAGAGAAGAAAAATAGAAAAGTAGTTTTAAAACTCTTCTGAGAAAACATGCAATGAAAAGCTTGAACACTTTGAAGTTTTCTAAAGATGAAGATTTCTAAAGATGGCTAAGAGTTGGAGCCATACCAGGTGGGTAACCCTAAAAGAAAAGAATGGAAAATCAGAGAGAACTAAGGAAGATCACCCAAAAGCCAGAGCAAAGAGCATATTTCATATTCCTGTAATGTGGCACTAGAGGAAGTCTTCCAGAACATTAAAAAATAACTTCTGTATGTAGATTGATTCAGTGTCAAATATGAAAAAAAAAAAGTATCTATCTATAGTTTTCTGATGTTACACAGCTACATTAATTTTGGTAGAAGAGGTAATTTAAATCCCTTGGGAAACATTATCCTCTTGATATTAGCATATAACTCAGATTAATAAGATTTGCATATGTACAGCAGTAAGGAGAACAACCCTGAGTCTGGAAAACAGCTTTGTATTTTAATCAGTTTGGAAAGACCAACAAAAATACATATTGGGTTTTACTAATTGAACAGCATTTGTTAAACTGTGCTAGATAATAATAGTGACTTAATCGATCAATAGGCAGAAATAAAATAAACAAGGATATTTTGGAAAAGTAAACAAAGTGTAAATAATAAACAGTTAATATAATTTAAACAAAAAGGCAGGTAGAATTTGCCTTGTTAATCATCTTAAATTGTTTTTTACAGGCCAGAGCAAATTTATGTTGTACCCAAATTGTATAATTAACTCTGTGTATGCAGTCTTTCAGTTGTTCAACAATATGGATAACAGCAGTAATGGTATAATTATAACTTACAGCTGAAGTAGATAAAAACCTCCTAGTTCTTAACCAGCGGTTGTAATTAAGAGTGGAGAAGGGTAATATTCACAGCATCTGCTTATGCTCCATTAATAGGATTGGATTTCACATTCCAATGCAGTAACACTTTGCTGCAACCCTGACCATGTCCTGGAGAACACAACTTTCCTTGTAGGGAAGCAGCTCCGTAAGCAGGGGCTGAGCAGCAGCTGTAGACAGGGAATGCATCAAACAGGAAGCGCACTAGGAAGAGGTTATTTCCTGTGCCCTGAGCATGCCTTTGCTTGCAACTGCATCAGTGGGTGGAGGAGACGGCATTCTCTGGCAGAGGAGAATAAATACACATGTCCTTGTACACACACAGAGAACCCTGTCAGACACGACTCGGGGAGAGGTAGGTGATTCCCAGCGACGCCGTTCAGCACTCGGGCTGAGGGCAGCGCCACGGCGCTCAGCACCGCATCCCGTTCAGCACCAGGGCGGTGGACAGCGCCACGGCGCTCAGCACCGCTTCCCGTTCAGCACCGCTTCCCGTTCAGCACCAGGGCGGTGGACAGCGCCGCGCCGCTCAGCACCGCATCCCGTTCAGCACCCGGGCGGTGGACAGCGCCGCGCCGCTCAGCACCGC